TTATACACGTTGTTTTTCTGACGAAGTGGACAACAGAGTGTAAATCAAAAGTAGCAGATGTTCCGTACATTTTGTTTCTGCTTGGTACACTTGCCATTGGAAACACTGATCTGATGTGTCACCAATGTCGAGTTTTTTCCAAGCAGCCGCGCACGCTAATGAAAAAGTTATATGTTGTTCAATGGATTGATTCGACTGTGAAAAGAATACATTTATAATTGTTTCGACTTCACTTTTTAAACTATTTTTATTCTTGTCTAACCTTTTTAAATAAAACCATGTTCGTTTTAATCTATTGATCGCCAATGGTAGTGCTTGATAATGAAGGTATTTTCGATAAAATAATGGTTGTGAAAAACCTTGCAAACAAATCAGAGCAATAAAAGTACCAATAATGCTGAGCGATTTATCTGTTGGCAAGAACTTTTCAATGATACTTTCATATTGTTTTATCAATGTTTGAACTTTGATTGAATGATCTACTTTAGTATTAGCGAAGTAGTCCATAATTGGTGGTAAGATAGATGATTGATGGCTCATCTGCTCGGGTAAGAAATCAACCTTTAGAATGTTTTTATCTTCACATTTGAAACATATTCCATCACATACTGCGATAATAACAGAAAATTTTGATGGATGAATGTTGGTTAACCATTTGACGGCGAAGGCCGTAAATTTACGGCCTAAAAATTTAAGTAGGTTAGTGAAGAGATTGTTCACTAATTTCATATGTAGTATATAGAGATAACTTGATGAAGCTCATTAGTGATACACTGTAGACACTAGAGGCATCTTTCGTAGGGCGACGTCATTGGTTTATATGAAACTAACCTTTTCAGCAGTCAAGAATATTCTGTTTAAGTAGTATAAATAGGAGGTAGCTTTACCGTATGAATAATATACTACGGTTCATTAAGGTGACATTAAACAAGAAATGATAGCGATAATTTTTGTTACTAATCAACTTTATACGTTATAATCACTCATTTTTCATTTTTCAAAGTTTCCTGAATTATTATGGCATACAGTAATACATCTGATTCAGATGTAACTGAAACTTTTACAGATTCTGAATTAGAGAATGAAATAGGTACTGGTTCTGTTGCCGACTCTGATAATGAATCAGATAGTCGAGACGAAGAACAAAATAAAGAAGAATTTTTCGAAGAGCTAAGATGGAAAGAAGAGTGGTTCGAACTAAAAACATTTACATTTGACTCAAGTGAATCTGGTATTAGTTCATATATACCAAAAAATGATGAAAATAGACCAGTAGACTATTTTCGTTTGATATTTGACCATACTCTGATGCAAAAAATTGTTCAAGAGACAAATAAATATAATTTCTATACAATACGACATGAAAAATTACCTGAACGATACCAAAAAGCAATTGATGCTACTGAACACGAAATGTATACATTTTTTGCACTTTATATGCTAATGGCTCATACCAAAAAAAGCCGAATAAAAGACTACTGGTCTACTGATCCTTTGATTGCCACACCTATGTTTGCAGATATCATGAGTAGAGACAGATTTCATTTACTCTTACGATTTCTACACTTCAATGACAATGAATATCAACCATCTGATGATAAACTACATAAAATCAAACCCATAATCATTCATTTACGTGAAAGATTCAGAAAAATTTTAGTTCCTTATCAAGATTTATGTATTGATGAAAGCTTGATGTTGTATAAAGGCCGACTTAGTTTCAAACAATACACTCCATCTAAAAGGCGCAGATTTGGAATCAAAATATACTTTATATGTGATGTTCATACTGGGATTATCTTAGACTTCATTATTTACACTGGAGCCATCACTGATATAATCAAATTTCCAGATGTCGGAATTTTTGGTTCAATTGTTATGACTCTGATGCAATCTTACTTAGATAAAGGTCATAATTTATTCTTAGATAGTTGGTTCACAAGTCCTATACTTTTTGAGACGTTACATGCTAGGTCAACTGGCGCATGTGGTCCTGTAAGAGTAAATAGAGTGGGTTTACCACAGTTCGAAAATAAAATTAGTAGTGGTCAACAAGTTTATAAAAGTACAGATAACATGCTGGCACTGAAATGGTATGATAAAAGGGAAGTTACAATACTATCTACTATTCATCAACCTCAAATGAGATTTACAGGAAAAAATAATCCAAAAACTAAACAACCTATTCGAAAACCAATTTCGATAATCGATTATAATTCTAAAAGCGGAGAAATTGACAAAGTTTACATGCAAACTAGTTTTGTTGAATGTATAAGAAAATCTGTCAAATGGTATAGGAAATTATTTTTTCATATGCTTGATTTATTAGTTTTCAACACATATTTGCTTTACAAAATGAAAGCCGGGGAAAGACCTCAATCAGTAGACTTTCATTTACAACTTATACATGAAATTTTACAAACTTATCATACTCCAAAACCAACAATTGGACGATCTGTACATGGCTGTAAACCAACTAGACTTACTGGTAGACATTTTCCTACTCTTGTGCCTCAAACAACTGAAAGAAAAAATCCTCAAAGAAAATGCTTTGTTTGTGCAAATACTAATAGAAAACCTAGAACGAGAACAGATTCACGTTATATGTGTAAAGACTGTGACGTGGGTCTTTGCGTAGTTAATTGCTTTGAAGAATTTCATACTTTGGTAAATTTTTAGTTTTTTTTTTCTGATGTTTTTTTTTTCATTTCAAAATAAACTAGTTGCATTTTCTAAATGAAATCTAACTGCAGCAATTACGACCATTAATGGCTTTCAGAATATAACTAGTTTTGGTAAGACAGTTTCATTTTTTTGTGAAAAAATAAGTCCGCCGTCAAAGGATTAATGAAATGAAGCCAAACATTTTATGTTCATCTGTGCTGGACTCTTTTTATTACAGAACTATTTCTTTCTTTTGTTATATTCAAATACATTCTGCAATCGTATACATAAAAAAAATTATCTTTTGGAATCTATCAGAGATCCGAGACTCGCCGAGTTTCCTCGCCTCGTGGCGAGGCGGCATTTTCTAAACCGCGGCGAGCACGAGTTGATTTTTTAACTCGCCGAGTTGACCCGCCTATGCTTAGAATGTTATTTTTCATGAATAAATGGAAAATCTTTAATGACATCTTTCGATTTTATTGTAATTGTTTCTAAGCATCTCCATTTGCAGCGAAGTTTATCTAATCGAGACAATAAATTAGTGTACAGGATGTCTCAAAAGTCAGCTAACAAAAAGAAAACTATATCTCCACAAAGTTATAACTAAATGAGCTGATCTTTTTTCCTGATGGTACAGGATATTTCCAAGTTTTTATTCAACCAGTATAGTATCTTATGAATACACTTGAAATCTAGCATTATCTACTTCAATACGAAATTTGACCTTTTTTCCGTACACTCCTATCAGTAGTCAATCACAAAAAATAGAAACGTGTCCTACAGCTTATTCAAAAATTCTATTTTGTAGAGCTTCTTATGATGATCATTTTGGTAAAAAAAGTTGTTCTACTTTCATCAAGAAATGACGATATCAGAGTCAAAATACTAAAAAAAAGTCGTATTGCTTCGACCAGCACTATTTGCCGTTTTCCAGTATTTGACTCGGGAAATATCTTTCCTTGATGAACATAGAACAATTTGTAACTAAAACCATCAGCAAAGAAGAGTTCTAAAAACTATGATTTGCCAATAAGTTTTTGAATACCTTTGCTTTTTTATTTACTATACATAGGCGTATTTTATCAAACTTTAACTGTAGTCACTAGTGTTTTCACATCTTTTCAGTGCGAAAAGATTTGAGAGAATTCTGTGAAGTTAGATAGAATAGAGAAAACTAAAGGATTCAAATAAAGTATTACACACTTTTGAAAATCTAAGAACAGGAATTCGCATGAGATTACAGAAACTCAAAATCTATAGTGTAT